GGCCACCTACCTGCTGGGCGCCGGGAACCGGAGTCACTCGGCGTGGAAAACACCCGCCGCCAGAAGTTCCGGGAAGACCCGCCCACGCCTAGGGACCGGCGGTAAAGTGGCGACTCGGCGACTCGGTCCGTGAGGGAGCGGGGGGAAATTCCAACCTTCGCTGCTCTCCGGCTCCCAGGGAAGGTCTGCAGCCCTGGGCAGGGCGCTCTTGTTTCTTTGCCTGATTCTCCAGGTTAAGGGACCATCAGGGGACAGGCGAAGGGAAGCGCTGTTATGTTTTCCAATAACTGTATGAGCTTTATGTCATTGATTTATCTCTAATCTGAGTCATTTGTCCCAAGGCTGTAGATTGTAACCTCCCTAGGGCGTGGTGTTCTGTGTGTGTGTGTGTGTGTGTGTTGGGAGAAGGGGGAGAAACCAGGGCAATGCAGAGGGGGATCAAGTCTTCCAGTTATGAATCACTTGTGGGTTTTTCATCAGGATTTTAAACCTAGTTTATTTGTGTGGGGGGGGGTTGTTTTTTTGAGGGGGGCGGGCGGCAGTAACAATGTAAGTTACTTGTTTTGCTCCTCTCACTTCCTGCTGTTCTCTCTCCATCAGCATGGAGTCTCACTTAATTGTTCTCTTCTGTTTGTTGTCTCTCCTCTGGTGTGTCCATGCGATTCGTCCAAGATTTCCTATTGTTCTTATCAGACATGCTTATATGTATTCTTAAAACATATAAGCCTTTTAGGTAAATGAGAGCCCACAGGCATAGAATGATTTGATACATGAATAAGTGCATAGAAGTATTGATAGTTGTGTATATCCAGAGGCCTTGCAATGGCTATTCACTATAAATATTGTAAGACAGATTTCAAAAAGAGCAAATGTTGGAAATGTACACAAATCTTCTAAGCATTTTTTAAAAATATATTTTTATTGGTTTCAGAGAGGAAGGGAGAGGAAGAGAGAGCGAGATAGAAACATCCATGATGAGAGAGAACCATTGATTGGCTGCCTCCTGCAAGCCCCACACTGGGGATCGAGCCCGCAACCCGGGCATGTGCCCTGACCGGGAATCGAACCGTGACCTCCTGGTTCATAGGTCGACGCTCCACCTGAGCCACACCAGCAGGGCATAAGCGTTTTTTTTCAGCTCACCTACTGGCGATAGCAATTTCGATGAACAGCCACTATGATCACCATAGGATCACTGGTGACTTGAAAATGTTATGTTTGGACAGATTACATGAAAACTGAGCCCAGCTGAAACTTATCACAGATAGATGAATACTAGGTAAGAGGGGCTGAAAAAAAAAATCTACCATTGAGTACTATTAGAAACCAGAGCCAAATAATTCACATGGTCAGGCAAACGGCTTTTCTTTCAGACCGGAATGATGGCTGTCATCACCGAGGAAAGCGTGAAGACAGGGGACATATACCATAGAGTCACGTAACCAAGCTGCTAAACTGATTAACGTTATGAAGATTGAGGCAGGAGGAAAGATTCCATTCTTTTATTTAAATTTTTTTTTATTGATTTCAGAGAGGAAGGGAGAGGGAGAGAGAGAGAGAAACATCAATGATGAGAGAGAATCATTGACTGGCTGCCTCCTTCACGCCCCACACTGGGGACCAGACCTGCAATCCTGCCGTGTGTCCTGACTGAGAATCGAACCGTGACCTCCTGGTTCACAGCTCCATGCTCAACCACTGCGCCACACCATTCTTATTCTAACCAGCCTGAGAATTGGAAAAAAAAAATTTTTTTTTAACTTTCCAGTCCTGCATCAATGCCTGGATAGACAGCCCCCCTGCAGGATTCACCTGTCCTGGCCACCTGTTACCTCCCAGCCATTAACCAAACTACCAGATGTGACCAGACCTTCCTGGAACCATCCTCCAGACCAACTGGCATTGATGATACTGACGGCCTGTCATCTGCCTGACGACTGTCCTGCACCAATCGTAGGGCTAAGAATGCAGAACCGCTTACTCAAACATGTACTCTTTGCTCTTTGAGTTACCAGACAGGGGCGGGCAGGCCTGGAGCAGGTCTGACTCAGACTGGCCTGTGGTATGTGGGTCCCTGACTTCCTCTAGGAAAGATTTCGCAACACGAGGTCCAGATGCGTTTGAGAGTAAGTCTTATGAAAGCTGAGGACAGGGAAACCAAGGAAGAAAGTGGGGTAAAAGAAACAACAGGGGAGAGCCCAGGCCATGCCTTGCTTTGGCTCCTAGGAACATTCTAGGAAAGAAGTGAGCCTGGGCGGGGCTGTGTTAAGAATCTTAGGGGATGGGTTTCAGTAGAATATTCATCAGCTTTCCGGGTGCATCTAACTAACGTATGCTGATGCATCAAAATGAGTGTATAGGGGAGTTTGGGGTTATTCTTTGGTCTGTTTTACATTTATCTTAGGTCCACCTGGCTAATCACTGAATTAGCAAGCAAGAGACTAGATTTAAAACGAAATCTGCCTGGCACAACAACCCCGTTTTTCCTTATCAGAAACCCCCCACAGTCGTTACCCTATCAGCCTTGTGTGTTGACTGAGCCGAACTGAAATGGTCTGAAACCTACGAAGATGCCTTTGTAAACAACTGGGCGGCTCCAGAGTCGGGCGCCACTCAGTGGCCATGCATTTTTCTTCAAAAACATCCGCATCAAAACAAACAGGCTTCCGGTCCCCAGGCTCTCTGGTTGGAAACTGACAAAAGTAGGGCGGGGGAGGGGGAGGGGGAATTTAAAAAAATAGGAGAATGCTGGTTTTCCTCCACAAACAGAATCTCTGTGGAGACTTCATACTGTAAGACAATAATAACCAAGTAAATCAATGGCATTGATAGATTGGGATGATGCTATTCTATTCTAATTATCCCATGCAATAAGATGCTTCATCTAAACCCAGAATGTTGGTTGTGTCAATTTTTTATTAGAATAAAATTTAAATTAAAAAAATCAGACAACACCCCCCCAAAAAAAGTTTCAGAGTTGAAGTATTATATTAGGATAAAAATTTTTCCAATTGTTTGCAAAGATGAAATATCCCATAGGACATAATGTCACTCACTAAAAGCTACAACTGACATAATACAACATAGCTGCTAACTCTCAACAATGTATTTTATTTTTTTAAATTTATTTTTATTGATTTCAGAGAGGGAGAGGGAGAGAGTGATAGAAACATCAGTGATGAGAGAGAATCCCCCTGCCCCAAAATAATTACCGAGTATGCAAGGCATTTAACCCAGAGTTTTCAATGGATGCCAAGTTGTATAGGGTAGTCAGTGATGGCGAACCTTTTGAGCTCGGCGTGTCAGCATTTTGAAAAACCCTAACTTAACTCCAGTGCCGTGTCACATATAGAAACTTTTTGATATTTGCAACCATAGTAAAACAAAGACTTATATTTTTGATATTTATTTTATATATTTAAATGCCATTTAACAAAGAAAAATCAACCCCAAAAATGAGTTCGCGTGTCACCTCTGACACGCGTGTCATAGGTTCGCCATCACTGGGGTAGACACTTCAAATGACAGCTCTAAATTAGTTTAGGCTTCTCCGCAATAGGCCTTTTTTTGTTTCTTCCCCCTTTCTCCTGGCAAAGAGGCCGTTTCCTTATCTTTTGGAGAACTGCCCATCTCTGTTCCACTGTACCCTGTACCCTGATCACAGAGGTTGCCATGCGACCCAACCAAAGACATCAGATAGGCATCCGGAGCTGAGGCAACAGGAGGGAAGGCAGCTGAGGCTGAGTCATCTGCAGGCAGTGCCCCCCGAGGCTGCTCCCTAAATCCTTACTGCTGACCCCCCCTCAATCCATCCTAGTGCCCATCCCTCCATAGGCCTAGTCCCTATCAATTTACAACCACGTAACTCCTAATAATGAACATGGAGAATGTGGATGCTATGAAGATGATTTTTGTTCATGTGTTTGATATCTGCTTCAGACACAGAGGCGCTGTTTTCCAACCCAAATCACCATGTAATTTTGAGTCTTTTAGTTCTAACAAAAAGAAACGTTTGAACATGAGACGAAGTCCAAAGCATTTTACATTTTTTAAAGTCTCTAATCATCAAAATGGCCAGACCATGCATACATCTTTGACCAGGACGTGCCCCCACCCAATTATAAGATCAGAGGTATCATCTTACCGTATTCGTGTGGCAGGTAAGTGGAGAGGAGGAAGTACGAGGCTCCCTGTCCTAAGGGGTTAACTAAAAGGTGTACAGCATGAACTCTGTTTTTCTCTAACTGTGGGCAAAATTAATATAAAATCCTATCTCCTTCTCCAGGGTAAAATGGGTGGACATTTTCAAAACGGGTATTATCCTATCTTTATTCAAAGCTAGCAGCAAGGTATTTTCAAGGTAGTTTATTCTCACAACTTGGATACCCATAGGATGAAAAATGACCAGGGACATGCAAATTAGATGAAAGGAGACCTATAGGAAGCCCTAAGGATTCAGTGTCACTCTGTCCATCTAGTTTACCCACAGACAGCAGGGAAAGCCATACTAAAATGTTGACAATATGATTGAAATGGGTGCAGCGACAGTCTGAAGTGGCCAGGTGCCCCACTAATAGCACTTAAGATGATTAGATGTACCTAGAAGACGGGAGGGACTCACTGGAGGGAAACACCAGTGAATAAGACATATGGTCCTTTTTATGTTCCCAAATGGCTGCCCACTGGCTGTTGATTTACATATGTGATGACATGGTCATGGAGTATTTGAAGTCATTCATAAAATATGCCAAGTCATTCACGGTGTCAAGCAGAACTAAAAATCAATGCAGAAGAGCAAGGCCATTCTAGGCAGCCTCCTGCATCATAATGAGACATCACTACCGGAGGCCATACTGAGCTGTACTCAGCACTAAAGTACAACCCAGGATTACCGATGGTCTTTCTCTTATGTTCAAAGATGCCAGAGGGAGTCTGCAAGAGTTGTTTGCCATTACAAGTCCACTTCTACCCATCCGGCATGGCTCTAAACTTACCCAAGCCTTGTTGACAAGCAGGGCTTAAATCTGAGCCCTTGAGGACATTCTTCATGTCCACTACAGCTTTTAAATTTTTTTTAAAAGTTTTCTCCTAACTTTCCATTCTTTCATGTATCTCAAATATTCCTTACAGGATACAGTTTGTTATTTTTTTTTTAAAGTTCTTTGATAAGGTTCTATTAGTGGTAAAAACCCTATCTGCAAATGTTATTTCACATTCTTGGTAGTGGCCTAGCATACAATTCTTGATTGACAGTCATTTTCTCACACTCGGCACTTTATATAGATCTACCTATCTATCTAGAGATCATTAGAAAGTGCATCCATGTTAAGGATCTATAAACTGTTAAGATACTTTTTAGTAAGGATGACTTACTAATAGCAATTTTCATAAGTCATCTAGATTTTAAAGCTATTTCACTAGGTGCACATAAATTTAGCATTTTAATATTTTCCTGTTAAATGGGCCCTTTCATCTGTATAAAATGACTTTTGTATCCCTTAATTCCTACCTTAACACTCACTTAACCTAAATTAACATAGACATACCAGAATTTTTGTGGGCTTTTTTTCTCTCAGTATTTTTGTGGCATAAATTTTCCACTCCTTTTTTTGTTTGTTTGTTTTTCTTAAAAAGATTATTGTATTTACTGGGTGACATTATTTAGTACAATTACATAGACTGATCATGGGGAACAATTTCTAAATTTTATAAATGTCTAATCACTATGCTGTACACATGAAACTAACAGAAAATAATACTTATTGAATGCCAACTGTAATTGACAAAAAATAAAGCAAATAGCCGAAACCGGTTTGGCTCAGTGGATAGAGCGTCAGCCAGCAGACTGAAAGGTTCCAGGTTCGATTCCGGTCAAGGGCATGTACTTGGGTTGGGGGCACATCCCCAGTAGGAGATGTGCAGGAGGCGGCTGATTGATGTTTCTCTCTTTTTTTAAAAAAAAAAATATTTTATTGATTTTTTACAGAGAGGAAGGGAGAGGGATAGAGAGTTAGAAACATCAATGAGAGAGAAACATCGAACAGCTGCCTCCTGCACACTCCCCACTAGGGATGTGCCTGCAACCAAGGTACATGCCCTCGACCGGAATCAAACCTGGGACCCTTGAGTCCGCAGGCCGACGCTCTACAAACCGGTTAGGGCTCGATGTTTCTCTTTCATCGATGTTTCTAACTCTCTATCTCTCTCTCTTCCTCTCTGTAAAAAAATCAATAAAATATGTTAAAAATAAATAAGTAAATAAAGCAAATAGGGCAAATTGGTAAAATTTCATCAAGCGGGATGATGTGTACACAGGTTATTGTATTATTCTGTATTCTTTGTGAATGTTTGAAATATTTCACAAAATAAACAAAACCCCAAAGGTCTGATATAGGACTCTAAATCCTTGTGATGTATACGACGAACAATACAGCAAATATTCGTTATGCAACATTTATTACATTTTAACACATGCTATTAAATGGTGACATCAACTAGAGAAGTAGTT